AGAAATGCCTCGTCAGGTTATGATTAAACAAGTACGCAATTTGGTCAACAATATTGAAAAAGAAAAATGTTGCATAACACTAGATTCTAGAATTCGAGATTTGATTAATAAACACCAAGAAATTTCGGAAGAGAATCAAGATTCTAAACATGTTTTGGATATTCGAAGTATTAATTTAGATGATATGCAATTGTCAGAAAATATTCTACGAAAAGAGTCGAAGCAAGATTTAATATTAAAAAAAGTAGCAATACATATTCAGCAAAGTTGGCGAAACTTTGATCGTCATAAAGATAAAGAAATAGTTAATTTTTATAATCGACGAGAAGAGCTTTCTGTCAATCGTGATATTATAGAATGGAATGGGAGATTGGTTATTCCTAATAAATTAAGAAATGCAGTGTTAGGAATGATTCACTGGGGACATCCTGGGGAAAATGTAATGAAATCTATTTTTAGATTGTATTGTTGGTGGCCCAGATGTGATGTTGATATAGAAAATTTTATCAAAATATGTTCTGGATGCCAGAAAAATAGACCATGGTTAGAAGTTGATCTAATGCAGAATACCTCTGCTGATGCTATGATAAAACGACTAAATAAATGGTTTGCTAGGTTTGGAATACCCAAGTACAGTGTGTCAGACAAAGGACCACAATTCTTATCAGGGGAATTCCGTAGGTATTGTGATTTAAATAACATACGTCATATACGTTCGGCACCCTATCATCCAAAAACTAATGGATTAGCTGAACGTACAGTACGAACTTTGAAAGGTCGGTATTATGCAACGAGAGATTCAATTAGCGATCCCAAAGAAGCTATGACACAGGTTTTAACAACCTACCGATTGGGAGAGCATAGTTCCACAGGGAGATCTCCTGCTAAAATTATGTTTGGGAGGCAATTGAAAACAAGTCTGGATTGGATCCGATGCCGAACACGAAATAGTAAGGGCTAATGATAAACAAAGCCTTCATCATGATTTACATTCAAAGGAAAGAGAATTTGAAATCTCACAACCTGTATGGTTAAATAATGAAAATACCAATGGTTGGAGAGAGGGAGTAATTAAAGAAAGAATAGGACTTTATTCTTATATTGTTGAATCTTCCGGGAAAACATTACGGAAGCATGCAGATCAGTTAAGAAATCGTTTAGTTATCCCAAATCATGAAAGTTCTTTGGAAGTTACAGAAATGGTTGTGCCAGTGAATGAAGCAAATACAAACACAAATACAAATACCACATTACGTTGCTCATCAAGAAACCATAAACCTACAAAGAGGTTTATTGAAGAAATCTAACTTTAAATTGTTTGAAGGAAATGTAATAAATTAATAAATGATTATTTATGTATACTGTATATTAAAAATAGAATCGAACATTCGAAAAACAATCAATAAAAATTTCATATAAAAAATAAATTGAAATATAAATTAGTAGTCGTATTGTTTATAATTAGTAGTTGGGATTACTACATACAATATTGATAATGATTTTAAATTAATTAATCATTTATTAGATTTTATTCCTTTTAAATCAGCACATAATGCTATTAATATTTATAATATTTTTAATTCTGTATTAAAAGTAAAATTTGAAATTGATTTTTTTTGTATTACATTAGATAATGCTAGTAATAATTTAGCATTTTTAAAAATTTTAAAACTAAAAGACAATTTTGATAATGTGTGCAAATGTTTTTGCCATATTATCCATTTATCTGTCATGGCTGCATTGGAACCTCTAAATCCAACTTTAAAAAAAATAAGAAATTTTTTAAAAATTTTTAAACTTTCTATATCTAAATTTAATAAACTTGAAAAAACATATCTTGAAAAAAATCCAAATTTAAAATTTCCTCACCCTATTTTGGATATACCAACACGTTGAAATTCAACGTACCAAATGCTCGAAAGGATGAAGCCACAATTTATAATGATACAAATCCATTAGACTGGTGGAAATTAAATAAAAATAGATATCCAATATTATCAAAAATTGCCAGAGATTATCTTGCAATTCCAGCTTCTTCATCTAGCTCTGAAAGGGCTTTTTCAGATGAAAGGTATCTTATAACAGATCAACGTTGTTCACTAGATGAGCATACTATCCAAGCTTGCATGTGCTTAAAAAGTTGGATGCGCATGAAGGATTCTTCTTAAATACATAAATTTTTTTCTTTATATTACAATCTTTTGCACTATATTTTATATAAATAGACAATTATGTTACATTTTTAGTGTATTCATTTTGCTATATTCTTTGTGCTAAATAAAAAGTTTCAAAATATACGTTTATTATTTGATTGGTTTGTTGATTTCAAAAATATATTAGTTTAAAAAAAGAATTTGGATTTAGTAAAATTTTGGGAGTTGGTTCTTAGCCTTGTTTTTATGGTAATGCTTCATGATTTTTTTTTTCATGTTTATTTAAAACTAGAAATTAAGAGTTTTATAATCACTATTTCTATTCTTTTAATTAGTAATTTGAATTTAAACCAATACCAATATAAAGCAATATATACCAATATAAACCAATACCAATAGCAATACCAATACAAGAAATAGAAAATATTGTTTAAACCAATACCAATATTTTAGACCCAATACCAATACCAATACAATATTTTGTTTATATTGGGTTTTTAATATTGGTTCCCAGCCCTACTCACAGCTCAGTATGGATGATCTATATTGATACAGAATAGATAAACATTTGGAAATGTTTTTTGTATGGGTATAGAAATTTGACAAAATCTAATGTAACACAATCTTTATAGTTTTCTAAACTATTAACAAACATTTTTTTAACAATCTCAATTTCAATTACTAATCCATCTTCAGTAATATTGGTTGCCAATAAAGGTTTTAATTTTTTTATGTCTAGAAATTAAAATGAGTAACTTAATTTAAATTTAATAATTGTTTATACAAAAAAATTGGAAAAATCTTTTAGTCTTATGATTCTCTTTTTCTATGTATTCTGCAATTATAATGTTTCTCAAGGCCCCTATATACAAGAACTTTTTTCCAGTTGGTAAAATCCATTTTGATATAGATTTGATTCACCATTCTTTAAGTCATAGATCTTAAAAGGGAAGGCAAAAAATTGCATCAGCTTCAATTATTCAACCTATGAGTATTTATAAAACTTTAAAGAAATTCTTCTTCTATTATTAATAACAGAAGTTGGTATTGTTGTTAAAAAGCCTGATTTGGGTCAATTTTTATCGACCCGATTAAGATTTAAGCCAAAAAATATTATGTAAGCCTCATGTCCAAACCTTTCTGCCATCTATGAGCAAAATCTTCAGACTTATATAATATTTTGGTTTTAATTTTGATCTAGCCATTTTTTAATCTCCCCGAATTGGTTTTTTTAACACTAATAGATGTTGGCCTGTTTGGTGATACCTGACTTAAATCAGTTGTAAAATATATAATCCATCCATTTTGTTTTTGCAAGCTCAGACTCATTTTCCTTTTTCTGGATCTATAATCATTTTCATTCTTTCGCCAAATTAACTACATTTACATTTTCTCCTTCCTCTACAATATGAAGTGTGTTGGAGCTATTAAGTATTTCAGCAGAAATAGTTTTTTTTTAAACTGATATTGGGTTGAACAACAGTTATTCTCTCCCATTTATATTCATATTTTAAAAAAATTTATTTAATATTAAGGAACCAAAAAAAAATGAAGGGAGTGGTAGGGGAGGGAGGGGGGGGGGGTGGGGTGGCTGTTGAATTTTTAGGGGGGAGGGGCTTTTGAAATTTGGGGCTACAAAATAGGAATAGAAGCGGGCCTGAAACATAATTCAATAAAAATATATGTACATTAAATATTATATTTTTAACATAGATAAAATATAATTAAGACAAGAAAAATTTTTTTATCTGATTAATTATTAAATTTTATCAAAAGAATATTTCAAAAATAAAATTTTTATTAATAATCCTTTATTTTTAACAAATAAGTATATTTTTTTACAAGAACAGTTATGAACCATCAATTTTACAATTTTAAAAGAATACAGAAGATCCAAATAAATTTCTCCCAATAAATGAGTTTTTTAAAATACCTCAATCATCAATTATAAAACACCATTAACTTAAGATTTTATTCAAAATAAAAATTAATCTAAGCATGAGATGCTACCAAATGAGTGCTAAACCTTTCTGACATTTCTTGGTGAAAAATATTTGTTTGGTTTAAATTCTGATTATTACTTTAAAATCACCTAAAAGTTTTTAACACTAATAATTGATTTTAAAATTGATACATTCCATCCCCCTGGATTTCATATCCCAATTACAATGATAAAATAAATTATTCTATAATGTACATTTAACTTAGATTAAATGTGAATAATTATATTTAAAATTTTTTATAATCAATAAATATGTTATCAAAACCATTTTAATTAAGTAATATTACTAAGAAAAAAACATACCATTAATTAGATCATTAATTGTATATTTTATAAATATGAAAGGATCATGATAAAAATATTTAAAATATTAAATTAAGCCCATAAGTGATAGTCATTATTATGATTTACTAATTAATGTTATTTTAATATTCTTTTTAATTAAAAAAAACTATTTTACCAATTAATTTATTCAAGAAAATATAAAATTCTTAAAATGCTCCAATACTTAATAATGAGATATTATATACTTATAAAGTTAAATTTAATTCAATTTCATAAGAAATCAAGATATCAAGTATCAAAAAAAATAATCATCAAAATATATTAATATGGCATAGATATCAGATATGCATTATAAAATATATTTGACAAGGGATATTAAGAATTATGAAAATTGATAAATTTTTAAGTTATTTTGTAAACAGATTATTGAATAAATAAATACAATTAATCAATTATTATAACCAATATTATTAACGTTGATAGAAAGAAATTTAATTATAAATTTTATTAACCATGCCATTAAAATATTTTATATATAATGTTTATTAGATATGTTTTACTTATTTCGTTTTATTTATCTTATAAATATCCATATGTTTTACAAATAAGACATAATTTATGATATTAGATAAAACATTTGATATTAATCTGTGTATTAAATTAAAAACTATTTTCACATGGTTATAATAATTATAATATCAATAATATCCCAATTTAAATATAAAATATTTGTAAAAATAGTATGAAAATAATTTATAAAAAAATACTTAATTTGTTGTTAGCTTCATCTTTTTCAGAAATATTTCTTGTAAACATCTAATCAAAGTCAAATGTATTCTTCAGAGCATTTCCATATAACCTGTGTGAGATTGCAGATCTATGGACTGTTTTATTGATATCTAATCGAGTTTTAATATTTAGGTCAAACTGCCCGATTTAGGTTTTCTTTTAAAAATGGCCTGATTTTTAGTCATAATGGTAAACCTGGAGATTGGAAGTCCAAAATTTTATACCCTTTATGAGGGAAATCTAAAAGCTTACATAGTATTATTTTGGCTAAAATCCTAATCGAGCTGTTTTTTAAAATCGATCCAAATCGGGTTGTTTAACAATGCTAATTTAGGAGATGCTTTATGAGCAGTAACGTCATTAGGAGAGCCTTGAGCTTCCTAAAAAATTTGAATAACCACATGAACGAAAAAAATTTTATTGCTCCCTGTTAGCCCACTTAACAAAAAAAAATTTTTTTAGCCTCCATGAACGATTTTTCTTTACAATTCTATTATGTATTACTTGAAAAATCTATAATATCAGGGGCATCACTAGCCTTTAAAATCTCAGGGACTCAACTAAAAAATATTTTATGGGGGCTTCGTCCACATACCCTCTATCCCGCTTTTGCCCAGACTTCGATAGAGTTTTATATTAATATATTATACTTTTTTAATTGAAATTTTTGAAATCTGAACTATTTTGAATTTCATATTTTGTCATTTATTATGCATACAATTACAAATAATGAAAGTAAAACAATACAAGACACTTCTAAAGAATATTTATACAAAATATTTATCCATTTATTTCAATATTAGTTTTTTTTATTGCTATTATAAAAAAATTTGTGTCTAATGAATTACAAGTGATAAAAAGGTTAATTATTTCATACATTACCTCAATTGATACTGAATTTTAAAAACCACACAGGCAAAATAATTCTTAGCTGCCCACATTGACAAAAGGTCATGAAACTAATATAACGTTGGATTACCATTTTAAACAATGTTTTATAGAATGGACTAATTAGGAAAAATTTTTAGGCCTAACCAAATCAATAATTCTTGAAGAAGATAATATAAATGAGCAATTCAAATCATAATACTATATGGTGGTTGTTTACTTTCAGAAATATAATTTCATTTATTTATTCAAAACAAAATAACAATGTTTATTACCCTCATTTACTTGTTTAAATTTCTATTACTAAGATTTTATTTTCTAACAAATATCTACCCTACCATTTATTTATTATTATTTTTTTATAAACAAAAATTTATTTTATATTTTATAATAGTATAATTAAGTAGCATTTCTTCAATATAAAAAATAAGTACACGATACAAAAAAAATAATCTCATTTATTCTTATGCACATTCTTTTCGATTTTAACACTCCTCTATTCCAAAGCACTTTTATTTCAACACACGCTCGATCTTTGTCATCAATATCCCTCATCTACATAATACGCCCTAAATATTTAAATCATTCCATTGTGTATTCTACTTCGCAGCCGACTCTCCTTTCAGCACCATTATACTTAACAATTATTTTTCTTTCTCTATAAAATTATTTTTATCTTTACATACATTTTATTTTATTCACTTATTCTACATAACACTTTTTTTTATATTTCATTATTCCAAAAATAAACAATTCAATCATCCTTTTTTTAGGATCCACGCTGGAATTGAGCAATTTTCTCGAACTCTACATCCACATTCCTCTTTCCTTTTTGTGGACGCCATACATGAACGGGGGGGGGGGGGGTAGGAACAGTTTGTATTCTATTTTTTGAAGGGGGTAGGCGGCGTTAATGTAAGATAAATTTTATGGGGAGTTATCTATTAAATTTTAGATAAAATAGGACAAAATTTATTCCCGTAAAAAATAATACTTTGATTATAAACTTATAATAATACAATTCATCAACCAAATCTATATATTGCTAACAATCATAGACATTATTTTCCAAATAAAACTTTCTGCTATCCTTTAAATGCAATTTAAAATTAAAAGGTTTAGACATTTTCACCAAGCTCATAATGCTATAATAATGAATTCATTGTAAATGATTAGGGTTTAAATTGAAGTTATTATCTAAAAAATAACTCCTTTATATTCACAAAATGTCGATAGTTGGTAATAGAGATAAAACAATTTAAGTTATTCTTTGTAAATTTTCTGAAAGTATCAATATAATTAAAAAGGTGAAATTAAAAATAAGGAAACATCGGCGCCGAAGGTGGGGGAATTTTTTTAGGGGGATAGGCATAATTTTTTGAAGGGGGTTGCATCCATTTAAAATCCTGTCATGTAGACGCTGGTGGACGTCCACATACTCGTCTGCCGTGACCTTGACCTCATTAAAAAGAATTAAATTCTCCTGCTAACCTCCAGCCCCAATATAAGGGTTGCCCCTAGTATACTCCTCTATGTAGTTGATCTTCATGCCAAACACATACCTTCCTATCTTAAAGCCATACTCTATTACCAATATTTTTAATCACCACCCCAGACCCCTTTCTTTTTTTTCACCATACACCTTTCCCACCGCTCACAGAGTAAACTTTTCTATACCATCCTCCTCTCGTTCCCTTTTTGGATCATCTGGCTCCTGCTTTAAAGCATTCAATCCAATTTTATTTAAGCGTCCCAAAAAATTTCCAGATGAAAACTGTTCTTCTCCCCTACCACTATTATTAAAGTTCTTCCACAGACACACATACTTTTCCTTTGCTATGCTTAGCCTTTCGTAACAAATTCTTCACCTATCAAACCATCCCCTAAGGCTATCTGTCCACTGGAGTTCAGATGATATGGAGGAGCTAAAATATGTTTGATCTGATTTTCTATGCAAAACATAATGATGGTCCTCCGTCGGAAACATCACCATAGCCATTTCAAACTTGGCCCACAAATTCTTTAGTTTCTTGACCACAACCTACGTTCTCATACCTCTTACAACTTCATACTCTACCCATTTCGAGAACCACCACCAGAAAGTACTCCTTTTTCTCAAATTAGAAAAAATTAACATGTATCCTGACCCATGGCTCTGTTGTTTTCGGCCATGTTCCCTTTCTACCTCTTTACAGCATTTTTGCCCATGTATTACATACTAAACAATGTCTCACCTCCTCCTCAATATCATTATTGATATTTGGCCACCATACATACTCTCTACCCCACTGTTTCATACCCCTTGTTGACCCACATGTAGTGTTGTTAATTTGCTTGGTCGGACCCTTTTATGTGCTCAGGCCGACTCAGGGTTCAGACCCGGGGTTTAGAGACACCTATGGATTACACCTGGGGTTTGGATAAATGAAAAGTTAGAAAAAATAAATCTCATTTTCTAATCTTAAATTAAATCTTATACATTCTAAATTAATAAAGCTTTTAATCTCATTTTCTTACCATTTAAATATTTGTTTAAATTTGGGGTCTTTTGATTAAAATGTTTTCTGGCCCGAACCCGAACTATCTATAAAAAATTTACCGGCACGGCCAGAATCTAATTAAATATAATTAATTTTTATTTTACTTTTTTTAACTATGTATATTTTTTTTTATAAACAAATCCCCCACATAATTTCCGATTACTGAAGTGAAACGAGTAATATTATTTTATTTTTTTTTAAATATACAATATAAAGGGTAAAATAAAATAGTAAAATTTTATTTTAATACATATTGTAATTAAATATGAGAAAATAAATAATAAAAAGAAATTATGTTGTAAATTTATAATTTGTGATGAAAAATGGCAAAGTCTCATGATGCGTTTTTTTTTTATATTTTTCAAGTTGTTTATTAATTATTATTTTTTAGTTATTTACTTTGAAAATTTTTTTTAAAAAAATAAATAATTTTAAAAATAAAAAGTTTTTTTATATTGAAGTTAAGTTTCTTATATAATTATTTTTTTATAAAAAGTGTAAATTGAAGATTTTATATAAGTCGGACTAGGTTTAGAGTGCTCCACACCACTTGACATCAAAACTTTCGAGTTAGAATAGAAGTGGATAATAACTTAGTTATTCCCAATATATATATATCGTAATTTATAAAGTGATCTTAACTATCAGGAATCATCACGGGTTTTTAAGGTATAAATAAAAAATTAGGGTTTTAAGTTAAGGAATATCATAATACGGTATTATCACGTTTTAATCGTGATAAAGAGGAATCTTATTTTTAAAAGCGTTTTACGCGCGTTTCGTTTTATTTCTTTTTAATTTTATTCTTATTTATTAATTTTCAATGTTGTTTTATTTGGCCTTATATAATAAGATATGTCTAATATAAAGTATCAATCGATAGCTAATCAAAAGATCTATTCAATTAAAAGTCAATCTCTCCCCCTTAATTGGCGAGTCGAGATCTGGGGGTCAGTAATATTTTTTTCAACACAAAATATAATTTTTTTGATATGAGTATCAAATAAAAGGTAATTAAAATATTTTTTTATTGTAATAATAATAATCACTCATAGAGGGCAGGTCTAGGTTTTGGGAGACAGGAATCATTTTATCAACACAAAATATCAATATGGGTATCAAATAAAAGCTAATTTAAATATCTTTAGATCGAAAGTATAATCTTAACTTTTTTATTATAATAATTTTTATAGGAAAAAAGTCTACGAAATATATTTTTTCCAAGAGAAAATTGAAAGAAATTTTTGTTTGTAGTATTTTTGTCATTAATCATTTTCTTAAAAAATAACAGATATCTTCCGATATAATGAACATTATATTAGATGAAAGAAAATGTAAATAAATTACTCATGACTGTTATATTCGCGT